AGGGCATGTATAACAATTGAAGTTGATGGTCATATTAAGAGAATGCAAATTTATGGCATTAAAATTTGTATTTACAAAGTTGTACAAGGCATGTTTGTAACATTAGAAAATATTAGAGAGCAGTTTAATGACATGGTTATGTGATATATATATTTGAGAAAATCTAGTAGCATAATTGGGCAAGTTAGTAGACTTAATAACTAAGTTGTGGCATAGATTTTTATAGAAGAAATTAGATTGCCCAAAATGTAGAATTCATTCCCTAGTTGAGTTGTGTCATTTTAATATCCCACTAATAGAATTATAGAAAAGTAGAATTTGTGAGAGATAATGTAATTGCATACATGTATATTTTACATAGCAAGATAGAATTGAAGAATTACAGAATTATGTAGAAATTATAGAATCGCGTACGTACACACGATGCATAGAATTCAGAAATAAAGAATAAAATAAAAAATTTTTAAGTTAAGTGTGTTACTAGAATAGAACTTTGGGTTTTCCAGAAAAATATAGAAATAAAAGCCTTAGAATTAATAGAATACATGCCAGAGTCAGACACGTATTTTGGGATCATGCATAGACAGCATATAAATACATGACATAGCATAGCATGTATTTCAAAAAAATTAAAAATTATTGGAAAATGTCTAGCTAGTTATTTTTCAGATTTACAGAGCATGTTTTCAGAGGGCTGTTGCGATGGGGAACCTGTGAGCATTCGCTGCATTAGTTAGTGGCGACAGAGATATACAAGTTTCTCACATGTACACCGCCATCAGTGAGCTGCCTCAAAATAGAAAACTAAATTGTATAGTCTGCTAGAAGTGCATGTTGATGAGGACTGTACCCAGAAAGAATGTCAGAATATGCTAACACAGCCAGGGTTCAAAATCCATGCCTCAGCCTAGTCCGATCGGCAAACCAGAATAGAATATAGAAAGAGAAAAAGAAAGAAAAATAGAATAAGAAATAGAAAACGGAAAGAATTTCAGAAAGAAAAGAGAAGAATTTCATAAAGAATTAGAAAAGAATTTTCAGGAAGAATACAAACATGACCATTTGCATATGCATCAGACATTTTATGTGCATTGCATCTTATACATTTATGCATAGATTAAAGAGTTTATTTTATTATTACGTGTCTGACTAGCCAAGAAAAGAAAATAGAAGCCCATGAAAATAGAGAAAAAAAAAATAGAAGCCTACGAGAATAGAAAAGAAATTAGAGATATACGAGAAAGGAACAGAAATTAGATATATGCTAGAAAATAATAGAAATTAGAAACATGACAAATAGCAAGGAAACTTAGCGATTTGTTGAGTAGAGAAAGAAACAGAAAGATATAATCTAGAAGAGAAGAGAAATAAAATGATAAAGAATAGCACAGTACTAGAAAGATTTAGAAAGATTTGAGAAAAATAGAAGACTTCTAAGTAGTATGCCTGAGAATAAAGAGAGAAAGCAAGTAGAAATTTAGAAGCAGTACAGCGAAAATGGGGACAGCGGAGTAAGAGCATAGTTAGATTTGATTTACTTATTGAGTATTTATAGCTCACCCCGTTACTTTATTTATTTTTGCAGGTATTAGATTGTAGAGGTCGGAAGACGTCAAACTGGCGAGAGGATTGCACACACTGTCTTAGTGAAGGAATTAACATGGATTTATGTATGCATTTTTGGTATTAATAATATTTAGAAAAACATCTTCACGCTTTCCTATTTATTAGAAAGTAATTCTTTCTATTTTTATATATGTGAGAAATGGTCATTATGTAATAGTATTTTATAACTGGATTAAGGATAAATATTTTAGACGAACACCCTTTTAAAGCTAGCAATTCTCTGGATTCTCTCTATAGGATACTCAGTGAATACTTGCCTAGTGAGAGATTACAAAGTGTATTTGCACTTTTGTTGTCACACCATAAGACAGATTGAGTGGGGACAAAAACTTGCAATTCTTGCAGCAGCTGATGAATCTAAACAAGTTCAGTGGCAGCTTGAGTAAGCAATCTATACTCAGCCTCTATTGAACTTAGTGCTATGACTTTTTGTTTGCGAGAAACCTAGCTAACTAAGTTGCCAAAGAGACATATACAAAATCCATTGGTGGACTTCCTATCATCAAGATCATTAGCTCAATCCGCATCTGCAAAGCCTTCTAATACCAAGTTTTTAGAAGACTGAAACTGTAAACCAACATCAAGAGTTCCTTTGATATAGCGCAACACTCTTTTGCAAGCAACCCAATGAGAGACCGAAGGATTTTGAAGAAATTGACTCTACCTAGTCACAACAAAGGATAAGTCTGGTCTAGTCATGGTTAGATACTGCAAACTACCAATAACACTTCTATAGAGAGTTGGATTTTCAAATAAGGCACCTTCATCTTTGACTAGTTTAGTGTTGGCAGCTATAAGAGTTGAACTAGCATTAGCATCAAACATTCTGACCTTTTTAAGTAAGTCAGCCGCATATTTAGATTGATTTAGGTGAATACTAGCAATAGTTCTTACTACCTCAAAGCCAAGAAAGTAGCTTAATTCTTCTAAGTCTTTCAAGGCAAAGGTTTGATGCAATTCATGAACTAGCTACTGAATATAGGTAAAATCATTACCTGTAATCAAGATGTCATCCACATAAACCAATAAGTAAACAACTTTTGCAGATGAGTGGTGAATGAACAAACTGTTATCTAAAGTAGAGTTCTGAAAATTCCTATCCAGTAAAGCTCCTTTGAGCTTCTCAAACCATGCCCAGGAGCATGTTTAAGGCCATAAAGAGCCTTATTTAACATACACACATGAGCAAGTCTGTTAATGTCAATAAATCAAGCCAGTTGTGTCATGTAAACTACCTCTGGAAAATAACCATTCAAGAAGGCATTATTGATGTGTATTTTCTTGATTTTCCAATTGAATTGGACAACTAGAGATAGAATGATTCGAATAGTGCAAGGCTTTACTACTGGAGCAAAAGTTTAAAAGTAATTGACTCTAGGAGTTTGCTGAAATCCCTTTGCAATTAATCTAGCTTTATACCTCTGAATGCTGCCATCCATATTGTATTTAATGCGAAACACCCACTTGTTGTCCACTAATGTCATTTGATTATCATAAGGGAATAATGTCCAGGTGTTGTTGTCTTGCAAGGCATCATATTCCTTTTTCATGGTTGAAAACCAATATGGAGAACCTAGTGCTTCATGAATATTGGAAGGTTCACTGACAGTAGAAGGTTTGTTGACAAGGGTAGTTGCAATTAGAGCATCTATAGCATCTATCTTGCTCTAAAGTAGTGTCTTAGACCTAGTGAGCATAAGATAAGTATTGTCAGCTGTTGACTATGAAACTGATGGAATTTTGTTTAGAGGCAACTGAACTTCCAAGTGAATAGTAAGAACTGAAGTAACATCCTGTATATATAACTTTGTACATTCCCTGAGATTGGTCTTCAAACTGTTTTTCTTATGATATTGTAGCATCATTCGAGGTAGATAAGGTACCTGCACTTGCTACTTTCAGAGATTGATTAGAAGTTGGTATTGGAGATTCATTCATGAGGTGATTTTCTGATTGATTTTGAGAATGGCTCTTTTGGGATGTTGCTGAATTATTGATTACTGCACCTGAAATGTCATAAAAGGATTTAGTAGAAAAAGTATCAGTAGGTAAAGCATGGGGAAGCTACTAGTTGGAAGAGAATATTATTGGTTCCCTTGACTGCTGTGATGAGCTGAAATTGTTCTACAGTTCCTTGGCTGGAAAATTTGTTTCATCAAAATCAACATGTCTTGAAATATATACTCTTCCTGTCTCACTGAAGCACTATATCCAATAAAGATACATGGCTTAGTGTGATAGTCCAATTTATGTGAGTTACATGGCCTTAAATAGGGAAAGCATCTGCAGCCAAATACTTTCAACATATTATAATCAAGTGCTTTATGAAATAATTTCTCAAAGGGGGACACAAACCGAAGTACTGGAGCTGGTAGTATGTTTATTAAGTAAACAACAGTGTGAAATGCATGACACCAGAAGTGAAAGGGCATAGAAGATTGAGCCAACAGAGTTAAACCAATTTATGTGATGTGATGGTGCTTCCTTTCAACTTTCCCTTTCTGCTAGTGAATATGAGGACAGGGATGCCAAAATTTAATGCCATGGGAGTTTAGGAAAGGAAGAAAGTTGCAGAATTCTCCTCCCCAATATGTTTGCATACATTTCAATTGAGTTTCAAGTTGTCTTTCAACAAACACATTTAATTGTGTAAATATAGGAAAAGCTTCTAATTTTTGCTTTAATGGATAAATCCAAGAATATCTACTAAAATCATTCACAAACACATTGTAGTATATGTATCCTTCCTTTGAAATGACTGGTGAAGGACCCCACAAATCAGCAAAAACTAATTCTTATGGCTTTGTGCTTATTGTTGCAGAATGAGGAAAAAGTTACTGATACAACTTTCCAGATTTACACATAGAGCATTTTTGTAATACTGACTCTGAAGAGGCAAACTTTTTATTCAAAGTAGCATGTACAACAGCCTAAAGAATCTTAAAATGAGAGTGGCCAAGCCTCATATGGCATACAACTGAATTAGAACTATCTTTAACGGTAGTAACAGCATTTGTTGAAAGCAAACTTTGAGAACCTGAGTTATTGGATGAAGAAGCAACATCTATGTAATTAAATGAAGCAGATGCGATTATTGTTGAAGTAGAATCCGCAGGTTTGAGTGCTGAAGTTTGTGGAATGTTGTTCCGAGAGACAGATAAGTGCAAAATCAACTAATATAGTCCACTGCTAAGCTTTTCGTGTAGCAGAACTGCTTGTGTCACCTTGTCCTTAACAATGCACAGATCAGCAAAAAACTCAACAACAATTGCATTGTCTTTGGTGAGTTTTGATATGCTGATTAAATTTTTTTGTAATTTGAGGAAAAACTAAAACATTATTCACTGATAATTTGTGAGAAGACATTAAGGTAGGAAAAGAGAAGTCACCAACATAAGTAAAAGGAAGAAACTGACCATTTCCAACTTGCAGCTTTTCTATTCCACAATAAGGACTGCTATTGTCAAGATGCTGAAAAGTTGAGCTAATGTGGCTGGTCGCTCCTGAATCAAGATACCACTGTGAGTCTACTACTAAAATTTGTTGAGCAAAATAGGACATTGGTGTAACATTCTGAGTAACTTGCTAGGAAACTGGTTGTGATGATTAAGTTGAATTGAGTTGAGGCAATATGGTGATTTGACTTCTTTTGAGAAATCTAAGATTAAGATTAGCTTGATTAGGATCTTTTTGCAAGAAATAAGCTTGATTAGCCTGTTCTGAAAGATTAAGATTAGCTTGATTCAACGGCAAGAGTTGCTACTGAGTAACTTGTGGATGCTACAGCTATTGAGATTGATTTTGGTTTTGATTTTGAAGACTATTATAGGACAGGTCGAGCCTATAGGAACACTAGACAGCTGCGTGACTAGGCTTTCCACACACTTGACAGAAAATTCTAGGCTTAAGGAAATTCCTGCCTCTTCCTTGTCTAGAGTTTGGATTGACTCTTCTTATGTCTTGGGCTATTAGTGCATTGTGAGGGTAGAGAGAAGAAAGTGCAATGTGGTCTGTGAGGTTTGAGTATAGTTTTTTATTGGAAAGGTGTTATTCGAAGGATTAATGGTTGATACCGGTGAGTTGTAATGTGTTGGTACTAAATATGATGTAGGTGAAACATATTGTGTTGGTATTGGTGTAATCATTGGTGCACGATATTGTGGAATTGTGTTGGTGTATGGTAACTGTCCAGAACTGATATTGTGGTAAGGATAAATAGAATTATGTTTTTGGGCTATCAAGGCAGAATTACCATGGTACAAGCTATGTGCACTATTGTACCTTTCTAATATGATTTCATGTTTATGAAGCAGAAATTGTGCTTCCTGAAGGATAAGGTCATCACCTCTAGCTAATAGATGCATTGATACGGTATCATACTCAAGGCCTAAGCCGTCTAAGATATAGGCTATTCAAAACAACTCCATTATTTGAAAGAAAATCAACATAACCTTTCATCTTAAGCACAAACTCATTAATACTTAATGATTCCTTCTTTGTGTTTTGTAACAAGTTCCTAAGGTGCATTGTTCTAGCCTTTGATTCGGTAATGAAGTGATTTTCTAATGTTTTCCAGATTTCAAAGGAACTTGAGCACTTAGCAACATATCCAAACATTGATTCAGAAATCGAAGAGTACAATCAGCTCATAAGGAATTGATCAATTCTCTTCCATAAAAAGTAATAAAAGTTAGGCTTCCTTACCAGATCTCCAGTTTCATCAGATTTACTCAATATAAAAGGTTCAGGACAAGGCCGTTCACCATTGACAAAACCTTCAAGCTGAAACAATGTAAAAACTGGCAGTACTTGAGACCTCCAGCAATTGTGATTCTTTTCTCCCAGTTTTACAGCAATAGTAGGTAAGGAGTATGGAAAGCTGAAATTCTTTAACTGATCATTGTTGCGAACTATCTGTTCTAGGTTCGTCACCTTGTGCTTGCTCTTAGAGCTAGAGAGACTTTCATCATCCATATCAGTAGTAATCGAGTAGCTCTGATACCATGAAACAGTCCAAGAATCGAAGCAGGAAAGTTGTTAAACTTTCCAAGGAAACAAATAGAAAAAATAACCAAAAAACAGAGTATATGAATTTGTTATTTATAGAGAAGTGTTTATAATTTTTCATACATTGAGCGTGAAGGCAAAGTGCCTTTTTATAATAATCCTAGGTGACTAACAGCAGGTGGCAGTCTTTTACACAATACACGTGAGATGCTAGGATAACAAGTGTTCAAGAAAGTTGCATTTATAAACTATACATCTTGACCATTCATTTAATCTTGAAAGTGAGTGATCTTGATTGCTAAGGATTGTTCTGCTCGTGATCATAATTCATAACAGTCCACTACAATAATCCTTTCCAAACTCCCCCTAATCGACGCTTCCCCTAGTCAACGTTCACTTTCATAATGACAGAATTAACTTAGTTGCTTACTGAGTCACATACTAATGTCAAACACTAACTTCCCACACATTGATGTTGGTAAGGTCTTAGAGAATAAATCTACAAGATTATCACTAGAGTGTATTAGCTTGACATCAGTCTCTCGACTTTGCTAGAGTTTGATTATAAAAGGACTTCGATGAAATATGTTTAGTTCTATCTCCTTTGATATATCATCCTCTTACTTGAGGAATACATAATGCATTGTCTTCATTTATAATTGCAAAAGTATCTGAGGCACATGGTAACACTGTAACAAAAAGGGCTTTTAGCTACGATTTTGCTAGCAATGATTTTGAAATTCATCGCCAAAGGTAACCATTAGCGACGAAATATGAAATTGGTTGCCAATAGTTCTGTGGACTTTCCAATCTGCGTACGAGATGGCGGGAAGCAAATTGGCGACGGGCTTAGTGACAACATAATTCGTCACATAATGTTTTTTACGACAAAAATACAAAAAGCGATGCCCAAGTTGTTTTCGCAACGTAACCATATTTCATCGTGGATACTTTTCAGAGATGAAAATAATAATAAACGTAGCCAAAATTATTTAGCAACGCAAATGAACGGTGCGATAAAATGTGTTTGGTGACAAAAATATAGAAAGCAACGCCAACAAAACTTAGCTATTTGACAAAAGACCTGTCATAACACCTTTTGGTGATGAAAATATAAAAACAACGCAAAATCCATATGGCTATGCAACAAATAGTTTGTCGGGACACGTTTTTGGCGACGCAAAGATAAAAAAACAATGCCAAAAACGTATTGTGAGGCAGTCTATATTTAGTCATGAAAATGTTTTGGTGTCGATTTTGTTAAAATTGTTGCCATTGGTATGTTAGAATTTAATTTTTAACGTCATTTTATATTTATTTGACAATAATTGAAAGTGTAAAACCAATCAGTAATAAAAGAAATCAAAATTAAAAACAGTGTCAATATAAAATATAATGTTGTAGAAGTTTGGCTCTTGAATTTGACATTCCAACATGTACTTCACTTTAAGAATGTTGCCAATATTATATGAATTAGCTTTAATTCTTAATAAAGATTTATTATTTCACTTAATTGTTTGGGTTGGTTGTTATATAGTACTTATTCAAAGCCTTGATATATAAACATATTTAAATTTTTATGAAAAGCTAAAGACAATGCTCTTATTATTATTATTATTTATTTATTTATTTTGTAATAGGAAAAGCACCATGGGATAAATTGTTTATCAGGTTTCCACTGTTGGTAGCTTATGTTTGGCACTTGTTTGCTGCCATTTAGAATCATTGTTATTATTATTATTATTATTATTATTATTATTATTATTATTATTAGTATTAGTATTATTTTATTATTTTATTATAATATTGTTATAATACATATTATAATAAATTTATAATATTATTTAATATTTATATTTAAATGTTAAATTTAGTACATTAAATAATATTTATTAATATTAAAGCAAACAAATTAAAATTAATTCATAAAGAAAAATCACATCACAATTATATAAATTAAATTTGAATAACTATAATAAATATTATTAATTCTCAATATCATCTTCAACTTGTACATCTTCACTTTCAGTGGTACAATTTTCATCACTCATCTCATTTTCACTATCATCATTTATGAAACCGACACCAACATCACTAACTCTACCACTTGGCTCCACAAATTGAACAACCTCTGGTTCCAAATCCACCTTACAAAGTTCTTCTTGTTCATTAACTTCCGCATCAATATGACAACTAATTAATTCATCTGAATTATTGACTTGATACGCCTCGTGCGTTGTTGACTGATCTTCCTCAACTTTATTGGGAATGTCATACAAATGCCTATGTTGCACATTTTGTATAACTTTCCAATTGGCCCCTAACTCAGGATCGTCAATGCAGAAAACTTGTTTAGCTTGATATGCTAGCACATAAGGATCATCGCCATACTATTTGTGACTCACATTGATGCTTATAAAGTGAAAGTCCCTACACACCCATTTCTTTTTAGGGTCAGTGTCAAACCAAGTGCATTTAAACAAAATCACACTTCTATCATAAAAGTAATTCACTTCAACAACTGAATCAAGAATTCCATAAAATTCCATCCTCTCATCATTACCACCACCATTATCGTCATCTTCAAGTTCCTCATAAACTAAAACACCACTATTTTGGGTTGTAAGTCGATCATCACGATCTTTCACAATGAATCGTATTCCATCAACAATACAAGCAGTGTGTTTAGACATTCGTCTATCAAGCTTACACGCTAATGAATACAAATATTACTTAAGAAAAACCCAGTGGGATAAAAATCTAAGTAAAGAAACACATTTCTATGATGAACTGTAAAGTGGTGTTAGACGTGCTTAATACTGTCTTATCAAAAACCTTGCTAGAAAAACCTAGTGGGACAAAACCTGGTCAAGGGAAAAAGAGTACAATGCAAATGTGTCCACTACAACAATCCTTTCCAAACTCCCTGTAACTAAAGCTCCCCTTAGTCAGCGCTCCCTTTCGTAATGACAAAATTAACTTAGTTGCTTACTGAGTCGTCGCATACAAATTTCAAACACTAACTTCTCAAATTTTGATGTCGATAAGGTCTTAGTGAATAAATCTACAAGATCATCACTAAAGTGTATTAGCTTGACATCCGTCTCTTGGCTCTGCTAGAGTTTGATTATAAAAGTACTTCGATGAAATATGCTTAGTTTTGTCTCCTTTGATATATCATCCTCTTACTCGAGGAATACATGATGCATTGTCTTCATTTATAATTGCAGAAATATATGAGGTACATGGTAACTTGCATGTACTCTCGATATGATGGATGACAAATCTTATACACGTTCTTAGTTGACTTCATGAAATGCAAGAATCTCATAATGATTGAAAGAAGTAGAAACCAATGTCTGTTTTATAAAGCATCATGATATTGTTGTGCCATTGTAAGTAAAAACATATCTTGTGTACGAGTGGGTTTTATGGGGATTAGAAAGGCGCCCAGCATCTGCATAGCCAACTAATTAAGGATCATGAACAAATGTCTTTAGATAGAATCATCCCAAGTCTTTTGTTCCACTAAGGCAATAAAAGATATGTTTGACCTCATTCCAATGTCAGCGAGTTGGTGCATAACTAAATCTTGCCAACAGATTTACTATAAATGTTATATTCAGTCTCATACATTGTACCAATTATAGTAGTGCACCAATTGCGTTCAGATATGGTACTTCAAAACCAAGTATCTCTTCGTCATCTTAGGATGAAATGGATCCTTCTTGGGATCAAGAGACCTAACCATCATAAGGGTACTCAAGAGGTGAGCCTTATCTATATTAAAGCGTTTTATGATTTGTTTAGTATAATTTGAATGATGGATCAATATGTCATTTGGCAACCCAGAGATATTGAATCAGTATCTAAATATTTTGTAAGTTTGGTCTTATTATACCACTACTACAGGAGAAGGTTTGATATGTATACTATTACAACAAGAGCATATCTTGAGCTTTAGGGAGAATATATCCTTTTAATGGTCATTCCATTCTTTTATAGGATCAACAAATCCTATATCATGAGAAATTCAGTTGCCACAATTCATTTAAGGTGGTAGAAATAAATTTAAGGATTTTACTTTATCCTACAAGGATAGGTAATTTTCTTTCCTGAATCTGCATCCTCTGGATGCATGTCATATGATGCATTTCGGCATCCAAAAACAATAATAAAATGGGATAATTATAAAGGAACGATAAATTGAATAAAAAGTAAATAATAACGATAAATTGTGTACTAAAGAAAAATAAAAGAAAGCAATAATTGTGTAAAAAAGAATTATAAATCAATAAATAGAGTTAGAACTTTAGATTCTAATATAAAGCTTTGAAACTTAGAACTTCCAGTTCTAAATTTTAAGTTCTTTTGACTTCAGGCATTTTATTATTATCATTTGTAAACTTCAGGTTTGCAATTATATAAGATCCGAACTTCAGGTTCTAAAGTTTGGAAAATTAATTCTTATTAGTTAAACTTTAGGGTTTAGGACTTTAGGTTCTAAATCCATATATTGAAATCACAACACGGAACTTCAAGTTTTGACATTTAGAACTTCAGATTCTAAAGTAAAGTTTAAAATTTAAATTTACAGGTTCAGGTTGATGATTAGAGACTTATTCTTAGAACTATAGGTTCATTTACCATTTCTATATTCAAGCTTCTGGTTGCCATAATGTTTTTGTATCTCCAATAATATAATACAATAAAAAATTATAAATACGTAATGCAATTAATACATTAGTAACAACATTACCAATATGTATTAAGAAATAAAGTCAACTGGTTAGTTCAGGAAACAATTATTACAAATATAGTATTGGGAGGAACTAACAATATTTTCTTATATGAAAGATCCATTTTATGGAAACCATAGAACATATTCCTAATGGTAGTTTTATCATATAATATATAATAAATGAATGAATAAAACCGTTATACTTACCGAGTGTGTCGTGCTAATAATGTATTAGAATTTTAGTGGTGTGATTGCATAAAAATAAATTAAGGACTTAAAAAGAAGAGAGCATAATAAAAGGGACT